AAACCCCTAAACCCTAAACCCGACCCGCTGTGGAGAGCCTGATGACATCCGCTCGGATCCAACTGGGTGGTGTCAACAGGCCAGTGACTCTTTGACTCTCGCTGGGTCGGTTTCGTGTCGTCCGAGGCACATCCTAGATGCATGTAAGGCCCCTCCAAACTGCCTGTACCCTTTGATAATGAATCCTCCAGCCAAAACCACAACACGCCTATATTCTAAGCTGCCCCGGATAATGTTCCNNTAGGGTTTAAGAGTTTAGGGGTTAGAGGTTCAGGGGTGGTAGCCCATCTCTTCCGCCCCTTCCTCTTTCTCTAAGCTGCCCCGGATAATGTTCCAAAGCTGTTGGGGTTTCATGTTTTTGAGGTGATATTTTATGGTTTAGATACATAAAGGCAGGACTGATTCCTTAGAGAGAAGAGTACTCTCGCACCATAGCGAACATGGATCCTGAAAGGTTGTTGGCCTGAAGTGTGTGGCCTCTGAGCGCATGCACTTCCTTTTGCTGCCAGTCGCTGTGTTGAAGGTTACACTGTGCCAAATGCTTGCTAGGGCAGAAGGTTGCCTTTTGGAAGGCATAACATGGTGAACTTGTGAAGGCAAATGTGGAACCAACCTTACCTATGTCTAGAATTGTATTCACTCAGCAACCCTCTGCCTCTGACGATCGTTGCCGATATCTAAATCAGCTGGCCTCCTTTCTCCTCTCTGCACTGCCTGTTCAGGCGGCACAGGTTGTGCGGGAAACTGTTCTCGGACCTGGTTTTGTTGATCCGCCGTTAAAGTGGCGAACCACTCCTGCGACCACGCCACTCCAGCTATGCATGCCTGGGCATACGTTCTGGTCACTCCTCGACGAAATGGCTGCTCGCCAGCCGGCACGAAACTCCAGCTTCGGGATGCCTTGCCAGCATACCTTGCCCCAGTCAGTATGCGGATCTGAATAAACGGGCAGCAATCCTGCGGCCTCCCGAGGACAGCTCGTGTGCCGGGGGCCAGCTCGTGAGAAGGGAGAACAAAGCCGTGTGGCCCCAAGCTGCGACGGTCGGCTCCCAAGGGCCCAGGCGCACGATCCTGAATCCAAGAGGTGGTGCTCGAAAAAATGGTTCTATCTTAGGAAGCATAGCCAGTAGAAAGAATAAAACATACTACTACCGAAAAGCTAGGCTCGGCCCTTTCAGCAGGAATGGCATAACCCTCATCCACGGCAGCGGGTGCAGCAGGATTATTCGCAGGCTCTTGATGCTCCAGGTGTTCCGGCAGTGCTGCCTCGGCAGGAGCCTCTGCAGCCTGGGCCTCTCCAACAGCCGGAGCCTCTTGACCATTGACCCCATCCTCATCAAGGTTGAAGTTCAGGTCCTCTAGAACCGCTTGCTGTGCCTCATCATCAGCATCCTCGTCGTCGGTCTTGTCATCCTCTTGCTCCTGTGGAAAGGGAAGGGCAAATCAAGCAGAAGCCTAGCCCGTATAGATATCAACTTCGCCCTCTAAAGTCTTTGTTAGTTTGGCCCTAAACCGAATCTCAAAGTGAGCCTAAACCCCATAGCAAAAATCCTAACTACTCCTATTTCTTATTTTCGTCGTCGAAACCGCAGATATTAACTTCTTCATAGAGCTTACGGCCCAGTCTGTCCGGAGCTTGTGCTCTTGCACGAGTTTGAGGGGTCGGCAAGGCATCAATAACTTCCTGGATGTAGGCATCGTCGAAGGCTTCCCGTTGAAGCAGACGGCGCACTCTCTCAGCATGACTGCATCTGCCGAGCTGCAAGCCGAGCAAGCGACACCAGGCAGCGATGAAACTGGAAGGCATTTGCAGCACCCTGTGTGTACAGAGGTAGCGAGTAGGAGTCATCCAGGCCTCGGCCTTGAAGAGTAATCCGAACTCGCATTTCGCCACACCCCGTGCAAGAGAAAGACATCCTTGCAGGGGCTTGAAAGTGACAGTGTCCTGCACACAAGCCTGGCTTGGGATCCGGTAGTAGAACTCGCCGTCCACCTCCACCGGATCCACAGCAAGGAACTGGGCCGTCCAAGTGCCTGACTGAAGCACCAGGCGGATCTCTGCATCCTCGTCTTCTGAAAGCTTCCACAATGTGCAGGCACTGAGCAGCTTGAGAGTCCAAACATCGGAGAGCAAACCTTCTATGTCAATAGTCCTGTTCTGAGAAAACTCTTGGAGGAGGCAGACGTACAAACGAAGATTGGCCGAAAGCACGGCGGGCTTTGTCAGCACGTCGAGCTGTCTCTTCGTTGTCAAGTCGGTCATCGGGATTCCGAGCTGCTGGTCGATCTGCTTGGCGCCTTTCAATATGGTGTTTTTGAGATATCGAGAGGCATCTCGATCTGCCCAGTCTTTGGACTCCAGAGACAAGTGCTCCAGTGGCGACCTCTTCCAGGCCGACTTGACAGCACCTGCCGCCATGGCCGCCGGGGCCCGAAAGTCAGCCTTCTGCGAGCGGCGCTCCCCGTCACGAAGGTCGTTGAAGGTCAGCTCGTTGCCTAAGGATGACAACAAGGACGACTGCATTGCATCTTCTGCACCCTTGAGGGCGGCAGCCGCCAGGAAAACGTCTCGCACCTGATCCGCACACTCATGGTTCGGATTGAAGTCGATGGACCTGCTTCAATTCTCTCCAATTCTCAGAAGCCAACACAACTAGGGAAAAAATAGGGGAAAGGACAACCTACGGCAGACTAGCCCACACTGCTGCTCTGGGCAATTGAGAAACTCAGCTTGGACCAGCATCTCTCGCACCGACTGCCAACGGGTGAAGCTCATTGCTTTGAAGACTTTGCTCTTGGACGAGAGCTGGTCAAGCATCTGAATGAGGTCCCATTCTAGTCTGAGAGACTCCAGCAAAGTAGCATACCTACGACTGTGGACTGCCAAAATGGCCTTCCACGGAAGCACTCTGTGGTGATCCGCAAGTTCGTGCAATCGGCAGAGCCAATGGCACAGCATCTCGCAGTGCAGGGCCATGGTTTCAGCTGCTGTTTCGTCATGCGAAGCTTCCGTGATGTTGATGTACACCAGGCTTTCCCAGCAAGTGGTTTGCTGGATGGTGTCCCTGCCACGAAATGCAAGAAACTGGGGACACAAGCATGGCCCTCTTTACTTAACCTGACACTGTTCCTGCCTGAGCAACTGCTGCACCCGTGCTCCTGTGGCCAACTGGATGGCTTGGCGAACGGAGCCGTGCACATTCGACTGCACATCGGAGTCCTGAGTGCCGAGTGGCTCTTGGCTTCGGGACGTTAGCATTGGTAAAATTTGTGT